CCCAATATTGAAGTACTACACTTTAAGACTTTTTTGGGTTTAGGGTTTAACGGGTTTAGGGTTTCGGGTTCCTGGGTTCTGATTATAACAACTTATACCTAAAAAGTCTATACTTGGTTTTTGGGGTGTACTCCACCCTAAACCCTAAACCCTAAACCCTAAAAAGTCTATACTTGGTTTTTTGGGGTGTACTCCAAACTAGAGGTATGGAGCCAAAGCAAGCTCTACAGGAAACATGTGTCGCCGAAGTTACCACCCCAGCGCTTTTTTTGGCTATGAAATTACAGTCCCCCCTAAAGTAGATAGAATATTAGGATTATATTGGGGTTTTATAGGGATGATGGAAAAGAACATGGAAACTACTATTTAGGGTTTAGGGTTAGGGTTTAAGGTTATAGTCCCCCTTAAGTAGATAGAATATGGCTTTGGGTATATTATAGCAAGATCCCCATATACCCCATATTCTATCTACTTAAGGGAGACTATATGCTGGTGTTTGGAACACGTTCATGGTTTTGCGCTTCTTTCTTCGCTGACATGCTGCGGCACAACAAACTTGGCGTCTTTCTTGAGTGAGCTTAGAAGTTGAGAGGACAATTAGGGTTAAGGATTTCTGCAGGCTCAAGATTTCCTGACTGTGCTCATATTTTGGCCCTCCTGGCTTGCGGGCCTCAAGAGTAAACGCGGTCCTAGGGGGGCTGGCAAGTTCGCTCTTTGAGCTGAGCGTTGCGCAAAGCATTGGCATTTCTAAGCGCATTTTGACGTGACCTCAAAGGCCTAAATCCAATCTTTAGGCAACGTTTGTAATGCACTTGTCTCTCAACGTCTAGGTCTCCTCATTGGAAACCCAATACGAGGGGACTTCCGTTTCAGTTGCCATGCTGAACTGCCTTACCAACAAAGTCCCGCCGCTAGAACATCGCATGCTCATCAACAAGATACACATGTGGTGAAGGGTAAGGTCAGGAAGGAGAGGACTTTGCGGGATGAGTGAAAAGTCCCGTTCAACAAACGAGTTTTCAGGACTTTTCACTTTGGGATCCATTAAGAGCACGTCTCCAAAATGTTCATTGAATTCCTACGTGCTCGCGTCCCAGCATCCACTTAGAATCCCGAAATATCGTCAGGGCTCTTAAACTTTAAGTCTGAATTTCAAGATGCCCCAACATAGGTTTGTCACAGATATTAGCAGCCATGTCCAAGAATCTGATATAATGAGTTCATTTGTTGTTGATCCACCTTCCGATCTAGTTTTGTTTGCCCTCACCGTGTTTGGAGCCAAAACTGTCCAAAGGGAATTGCTGCTAACATTCCGGTTGCCCAGCCTATCGCTTGAGTCACGAGTATCTTTTTATGAATCCTGGTGCTTCAGGCTTCCCAAAAGGGGCAGATAGCTATATGGTGTATAGTGAGGCCCCAGCATTACCTAGGACCCTTGTGGGACTTCAAGTTTATTGCAAAGTCTGAATGCACCCTGGTGTTACGGGTGCTGCAACGAACAAGGCTACGGCGCAAGAATTCTCAGCATGGATCCTCAAATGCGCCAGCACCCCATCACTTTTTGCCCAGTTCAGCAAACCGACTGATGTGCAGGCAGAGGCTGACCGATTGCGAAAGAAGCGTGAGCGTGAAGCAAGGTTTACCAATGATCGCCCATTAGAACGGTGACGCAAGTATGAGGTTTCTCAAAAAGGCTGCCATATAGAAATTGGGCTAACCTTAGGCCTTACCTTAAGGGCCCAAGGACCCAAATGTTAGGGTTTTAGGGCCCAAATACTAAAATATTAACGGTATTTGGGCCCTGAAACCCTATTATTTGGGTCCTTGGACCCTTAGGGTTGTGGCCAGGCGGTCTTCAAATCCGACATATTCACAGGCTCCGTAAGGGTGCTCTCAACATTAAAGTTTTAGACCCCAATTCCTGGGTAGGCCCCTGGGATATTTGATATTTTCCCTAATGGCTTTAATAAGGGACCCTATATACTAATATTTTTCAAAGGGTTTTAGGGGCCAACCCCAATTCGCAGTGATAATTGGCTAATTGTCATTATGTTTCATGGTCTTGCAGGTGCGCAGGCAAAAGTGTGGGTCCGAGGGTATAAAGCCTGTTCAAGTTTGGGGTGTGCTTCTGGCTTTTGAAAAGGCATAATTTCGAATGCTCCATAGCCATTTCCGTATCATTGCTGGAGAAGTTCAGCTTTAAGCACCGCGGCCCCAAAACTTGAGACCCCGAACAAACACTTGAAACGCACACAGAATCCTAGTGTCCAAGACCCTCCTATTTGGGTTATGGGGTCCTTAATAATGAGTATTTAGGCCAAAACAGGTGTAGTTGGAGGATCTAATGTGTCATGGCTTTTATTGATGGTATTGCCGAACGGGCAACCCATATACTCACCCACCCATTCACAAACAACTGGGTTGCTGTTAAGGAACTTAAATTGAGTTGCTATGTTGGGGAAACCCTATGATTTACTATATATACCCATTATGGTAACTTAATTTAAGTTCCTTAACAGCAACCCAGACAAAGAGAACCTTGTATACAACCACAGAAACCTTTTAGAAAACCAACAAAAGTAACCTGTAACCTGAAACCAATCCTTATAAGCCTTATAGAACCCCCTGCCATCCCGAGACCCTAAGCCCTAAACTTGTAGGAGTGCTCAAAGAGTGAGCATCAGACGAGGTAGACTGCCCAAGGCATACCAGCGAGAAAAGATTGACCCACTTGTTGAGCAACGGCCTGGGGAGGAGAATTGATGAGAGATTAGGGTTTAGGGTTTAGGGTTTAGGGCAAAAATTGGATTGTGTGGTGCGGGATTAGCGATTAGTGTTTACGATCAGGCTGGAGGGGAAAGAGTTTAGGAAGTATGGGAGAGGGATTAGTGTTAGGTCAGGGTTTAGGGGTCAGGGACCAAGGGATAATTTAGCATTGAAGGATAGAGGTTCGGACGTGAAGGCTTTCTGAGGATCAGGACTTAGGTGTTGCGGACCCGTTTTCTAGCTTTTGCCAGCGGAAGTCGCTTTGCTCTTTTATGACATTTGCCCGACATTCATGCGCAAACTGGCTTTTTCACACAATCATGATGAGTATACCGTATACGATACGTGGCACGACCTCAAGACACGGTCTCACCAACACTTTAATTCAAACTTTGGACACTTAAGGCCCTCCCCACACTAATCGGGACTGAACGGCCCCGAAGACCCTAATGTTTGGGTCCTTGCATGCTCTCAGGTGAAACAGATGCAAGGTAGACACATGTAGCCAATCAGCATCTCGCAAAGTGCACCTTCGGCCAAGCATAGGCAACACACTCCAAAAACCGTAGACCCTGGTCCTCAGACATCAAGCCATGCCGGTTCCCAAGACAGCACTGCCTGCTGTAAAATACAAGCCCCGGGGTTAAGCTTTAGGATTCACGGCTTGAGCAAGCCACGGAGTTCAATGCTTCAGACAGGATAACAACACCAATATGCAAAGAACAACATCAGGCAACAGTCGTAAGACCTGTTCACGGGATTCACGCACGCTTGTCAAACTGGGGTAGCTTTTCTTGAGGTTCCTGGAAGACAAATTGAATCAGCAATTCCAAGCCATGTTAGTAGAGCCCAAGCCGTAAACCCTAACCTTGAACCCTAAGCCTGACCGAGGGCTCCCACTTACCTGAATGGTAGGCTGCTGGGCTAGGCAACTATAAGGTATATGGAACTGAACCTTGTATTTAGGTAACTGGCGCCCTAGGGTACTCTAAACCCTAAACCCTAAATCCTAAAGACTTAACCCTAAACCTTAAACCCTAAACCCTAAAGCCTAAACCCTAAACCCTAAATCCTAAAGGAGCCTAAGCGTCAGAGAGAGAGAGAGCAAGCAGCGCTTTGGGCCAAAGTGCCTTTTTTCCCGCGATGCCGCGCGTAAGTGCCAGCTGCCCAGCCTTCGCGGACCCTGGAGGGCTGTAGAGGGTGTTGGGTCTAGAGTTTTAGGGGTTAGAGATTCGGGATTAGGGTTTAGGGTTTAGAGTTGAGGGCCTAGAGTTTTAGGGTTTAGGGCTCGGGGTTGTTGACTTATCCCTATAAAGCCTCTAGATACCCTACTATAGCATTGTAGTTTCCATGGTTTTTCCATTATCCCTATACAATCCAGTGTTCCTGAGCTCGGGGCCAATTTTGAGAGCCTCTTATGTGCCTCGGACAAGCCTCGGGACTGCCTGGTATACCTGACATGGACCTCCGCCGTGCAGGGTTTAGGGTGTAGGGTTCAGGTTGTATAGGGTTTCGGGTGTAGGGTTTAGGGTGTAGGGTTTAGGGTGTAGGGTTTAGGGTTTACGGTGTAAGGTTCAGGGTTTCGGGGTATAAGAAGAATGTAAGAGGACCCTAACATAACACAATTATCCCTTCTAGTCACCATTACTGGGTCCACCTAAGGTATACCTTTTGCTGGGATCTCTAGGAAAAGTGAGAGTTTCCTAAAACAGGGGAGCCCCAACATAAACCCTAAAATACCAGACTCTTTATGGGGATCCTCAAAAGGTCTTTGGGAAATCCCCCAAATCCTTTGACCTGCAAGCTTGAGCCCCCACACCCTGCACAGTACATCTTAAGACCTTTCTTGGGGTTTAGGGTTTAGGGTTCAGCGCAAGTGATTTTCACAGACATTTAGGGCCGCATGAACTAAACCCTAAGCCCCAAAACCCTAAACCCCAATCCCTAGCAGATTTACGTCTTACGACTCTGGGTTGTTTGTATACTTGGATCCCAAGGGATTGTAGTCAGGTGGAGCGTCTCCGCGCCGAGGTTGCCGACCTTCTTCGTCGCCTCTCGGCCTTCTCTTCTCTCACGAGATTATGGTAGAGTTTGGGTCAGTCTCCCTTACAGTAACTGTTACCACAATGGGTTATAGGAGTTATAAGAACCCCATTAATAAGGCCGAATGACCTAAGGTAGAGTTGTGTGTGTGTGTGTGTCTCCCTCT